AGTGCATTAAAACCTTTTCTTAGCCTTTGACATTTTTTGAAATCTGATCACTAAAAGGAGCCAGTGCTAACTTTAGCATTTAAAAGAATCAAAAATCGAACTTTTCTAATCAAACCCTAAATGTCAACCTTGGTCACCACAGGAGATGATTAATATTTGCATGAAAAGCATTCCGTCTTCTTCATGGCTGTTCAGTAATTGGTCAAGTTTAGAAAACATTCTTGAAAGCAGGAAACATGGTGCTTAATTTTGAGATATATATGTATATGTGCATGAACAGAGCAAAGAATAGGGCTGTTTCCCCCGAGGCCTGAAACTTGTGGTGAAGTGGAGATTGAAGTTGGTCAGTCTGTAGACTGCTGTTGGTGATTCGGTATGGGGAGATCCAGTGGATTGCGTGAGCTGACTCTAGAGCTTCACTCAGGGACCTGAATATAAAAGTCCAGTTGAATAACACAGGTTGAGAGAACCTGTCCATGATGAGCAAGCATGAAGCGACAGTGGAGATGAAAAACTCCCTTTTGGGAACACAGAGTCAGGGAGGAATGACACTCTTCTTAATCTTTAGCTGCGATGGTGGAGGTGGGTTGAAACGATATCAAAGTCACAGCGCATCAGCTGCCTGCCACCCAGAGCAGACAAGTGTGGATCACACTCCTTTTAAGATGAACTTTGGATGCCGATTGGCTTTCGTGGAGGTTTGGTTCAAAGCTGATTGGCTGTGTGGCAGGTGGACGAAGGGGAGCAATCAGTTTCTTCAGTTGAATTTCCGCCTAGGCTCCATTTAACGTCTCACTGGTTACATTTACCTGAAAAATTTATCCACAGTTAATTTGTTCTGCAGATTGGATTTGTTTTATTATTGGATTGAAATAAAGACCTGAAGCTATTCTAAAAATAAAATAAATAAAAGTAGGGCAGGACCATTAGAAAGATGCTGGGTGTTCATGGTGCCCAAGTCAACTAAACTAACGCAAAAAATGAATTGAAGAGGGTGCAAAAACATCAGGGAAATCCACAGCCTTGTAAGGATTGCTGCAAAGTCAAAAGAGCTGTGCAAGCACGTCCTCTGCCGCTGCATACTCATACAGGACGAGCCAGTTCTGCAAAGTTATTGACAATCTGCTGGGTTTCCTCAGAAAACTTTCAACCGATCCGTATGAACTTATTGAATCGACTCTGTAGAGTGTCTTGAAATGACATGTTGTGAATTGGTTCTATTTAAGGAAACTGGACTGATCAAAAGCTCTATCAAGGTTTAATGGAAAATTCCAAAGGTTTAGATTGCTTCTGGAATCGAGTTGAGTTTCAAAAGGGATCACATAAATGTTTGACATGGGCTGGAAATCATGCAAACCATCAATTTTAAGAGTTTCTTACCTTGGATAAGCAATGAGGGAATTGGATTGATGCTATGTCTCAATTTAGATCTAACAGGATGCTTACAAATTTAAAATACAAAGGCTATAGAGCCCACCTACTTGAATTCAACCAAAGCAGTAGAGCCAGTGTTGATTAGTGAGGAAACAGTTTCATCCTGATTGAAACTTAAATACTAAGCAGAGTTTTTTCTTAACACTAAAAAGCATTAAGTTTGTAAAAACTTTGTGAAATATATATTGATAAATACACTGTTCCAGTTTTTAGATCCTGTCTCAGTAGAGGCAGAGTTGATGCCCAGCAATTCGTAACCTCCCTATTTTATGTAATAAATAATATATTGGAGAACCTTGTTCTAAATGAATACAATGTTTACCTTTTAAGCAATGTAGAAAAATACCGACATCATTTTAGATCCAATCACTGCATCGAAACGGCATTAGGATTTTAAACATTAAACATTGGGTTGAACTAGATCATTGTAACAGACAGGTTCAGATAGAATTAGGATTTCTTGACATTATTCCCTTTATATGTAATTGATAAAAATAAAAAATAAAAAAACATTTAAATGCTTGATTTTTAGAGTTTTAAAGTCCATTTCTTAACAGTGTTATGCTTTAATAGCTTTATATACTTCCTAATTATTCCAAAACCAATAATGCAGTTTAACTTAATTTTAGTTGTTCAGTGAAGAAAGGAAGAAACACTGTTAGCTCATTTTAAAAAAGAGCAAAGGTTTTAGGTATTCATAAAGTGAAATTCCCCACACACATTTAAACAATGGTAATGAATCCTTAGAAAAACCTGTGGGTCATTTATTAATCAAATTACTTTTTTTATGAGTGCAACTGTTCTCTGGTCGTCCTGGAGTAACTTCTCCTCCTTTAGATTTACTTCGAAACTTAGTTGCACGAGTGCAGATGGGGAACCGTTACCCTCATCACCCATGCATCTGTAGTAAAACCTAAACAACTGAACAGAAAGTACAGACGTATAATTATAGGTGATAGTTATGAAGTTGATATAATCAGCATGCATTTTCCTGGTGGCTTATTGATCGTCAGAGTCCAAATGCTCAAATACATGAACATCAGAAATTAATTTAACTTGAGCAAATTAGGAAGTAATGATCAAATCTGGCAAGTTCTTTCTTCGGCAGAATCTTAAACAATAGAGTAACAGTTTGGACGCGCTTATAAATGTATTAAGGTGCAGTGGGCATTTTAGGTTACTGCTGGTCAACCCAAAGGGCTTATCTAACTTCCATCCTCTGGGATAAATTGAGTATCCAAAAATTCTATTCAAGTAATAGTAGCCCTACTTCAAATAAAGGTAAAAGGTCATCGAAGAAATAACTCCAAAATGAAAATGTAACTACTACTATAAAAAGACTACTCAAGTACAGCAGATTTGTTAAATGATCACATTTGATTTAAGGTTTGTAAATGATGCAGTCAGACAGATGTTATGTGTAAATTATATTTGTTTTAAATTAAATAAATGAAAATACAATCAAATAACATGATTACAGAATAACAAATTCACATAAAGGAAAAACTTTTCCAAATCAATTTCTTCCGATGTTAATCTTTGTAAACCCAATCCTGAGGGTAAATGTTACAAAATATGTTACAAAAGGATAAGGAAAGTCCACTGTTTATTGCATCTCACCAGATCTTAGAATAAATACAGTTACTCAGACTGAACAATGTAACCAAAAATCGTACTGAAGAAGGAGTAGTCATACTTCACAAGAATATTACTCAAGTAAAAGTATGAAGTACGGTAGAGTAAAACTACTCCTTAAAAGTAAAAAAAAGTTTTTAAATTCTTGTTCAAATAAATGTTATAAGCAGAAGATTTAAGAAGCTTTATAAGAAAACAAACACTTCTGGCAAAGTGTTTAAAATTCAAAATCGTCACTTAAAAAGCAAACAAAAAAGCCACTGTTTTGGCTGTTTATGCTCTTGTAAAATCATACCGGTGGCTTATTGATTTTGAAGAAATGTTTCTATGCTCAACAAATTGTTTAGGTGATGGGTTAACTCTGGTAACATTTTGTGGCTCAAAATCCTGAAAAATTTAAATTTCCCTAAAATGTACATATTTAACCTTATCTAATCTGCCAAAAGAAAGATTATTTTAGCCCTTAAAAATTGTAATTATATATCATCTACCTGAAGATAAGATAAGATAGACTTGATTGATCTCACAGTTGTGGATTTCACTTCGGCTCAATATTCATAAGAAGGTGCCTAAAGGAGGAAAAGGTGCATGGAGGGGATTGAGAAAAAAGGAATAAGGCAGAGATTTAAGGTGACTTATGCACATTTAATGAGACCTACAGTATACACGTATGGATTTGGTGTTGTACATTAAAGTGGTACCAGCTAAAGAACAACAGTGAGGTAGTGAGAGAACTATAACAGCTGAACTCTCTTATTTAATGGATGATTTCTATTTTTTCAAATGTAAATGATCTTATGACCATGAAGGAAGGAATGTGGGATTACTCGGCTTCACTGACAAAGTTGTGAGTTGTTTGGGAGGGCCGGTAACATATAGGTGGAAAATTACAGAATTAGGCAACTTTTTACGTGCCAGAGGGGTCCCCGGTGATGCTGTTTTATTAATGGAGGAGCAGAAGGTGATTAAAACAAGAGAGATTGTTTGGTCTTTAAAACAGACGGGCTTGATGCTAGCATGTTTGTTAGCTGTCAGAATTCAGTCAGCATTCTTAGAAAAAAGTCAGAATTATGAGATTAAAGTCAGAATTCTAAGATTAAAGTCAGAATTCTGAGATTAAAGTCAGAATTGTCAGATTAAAGTCAGAATTCTGAGATTAAAGGCAGAATTGTCAGATTAAAGTCAGAACTCTAAGATTAAAGTCAGAATTTTAAGATTAAAGTCAGAACTCTGAGATTAAAGTCAGAATTCTAAGATTAAAGTTAGAATTCTCTGATTGAAGTCAGAATTCTAAGATTAAAGTCAGAATTCTCGGATTAAAGTCAGAATTCTCAGATCAAATTTAGGATTCCAAGATTAAAGTCAGAATTCTGACTTTTTTCTCATATTATACTGAAATAAAATCTAAAAATCAGTTAACTTTTTTCTTATTGTTTTCAATGGCCCTAATCCTCTTCCGTACAGGCTTTATTTGATGTAGGTAAGAAACATTTATTGGGTCATAGCATACTCAGTGCTACCGGCCTGTTTACTAATGGCTGCCTCCTAATGCCAGATTTCCGCTCTGCCAAACCACGCAGTGCTTTTCCATCTGAACACCACTAGAGGTCACTATAAACCCACGGTGAACACCGTCGCTCACACTCCGTGACGTTCTCCTCCAGAAGACGCTCCGGTCCATGTGCGAAAGTAAAACCTCTCCGGATTGGCTGTGGCAGCAGACGCGGCCATCTTATGCTCTCTGTCAGCGCGGCCACCGTCCAGCTGATAACCTGATTTAATCAGCGGATCTCAGGGGGGCAGCCGGAGGCGCGCCGCGCGCTTCGCTACACCCGCGCCGGAAACCGGAGTTTTAATTCGACACGAAATTAGTGTAGTTTGAGAAAGTGTCGTCTTGTCCAATCACAGACAGAGTCACTAATATGCAAATGCGCTGTTATCGCCGTCACGTCAGCAGCAGCAGCAGCAGAGCCGCTGCGCCGTGGTCGCCAGCAGGAGTACAACTAACAACACAGCCCCAACTTCGCCCCGCACCACTCCGCCAACACTGACGCCTAGAGTTGCGCTTCGGGGTTACTTTCAGGTAAGAAATAAACCCTATTTTAATTTTTTAATTTAAATTAAATGGACGTAGAATTTCGGAGTGGAGCGGTTCCGTTTCATTCAGGCTCGGAGCTGTCAAATATCGGCCAGTCAGTTGGTGAGGGTCGGCTCAGCTGTCTGATGACACACCGCCTTATCTGCCTGCGCGTCTATCCTCCTCTGCAGGCGACACAGCGCCGAAGAGCCAAACTTCACTTTCCCCTCGTTAGACAACATTAAAACAAGCCTTACTGGAAGAGCTTAACCAGAAACTAATAATAATTTAAAAAAAAAAGTATTCTACTTCTTTCTTGTTGGAGCTGCTGGTGGTCCTGAACTGACAGCGACCAAACCGAGCTGAGCCAGAACCAGAACGGTATGGAAACACTCTAAAGATGTCGATAAGGTTTGTTTTTAATGAAAACGAAAGTCGAGTTGGTTATTATCACTGGTACCATCACCGGCGACCTCTCCATCCATCTTCGGCCTCATCTTCCTCCCCCCCTCTCCTCTTTAAGCGTGTCCACCGTGGAAGAACGTCACGACACCTTTTGAATCCAAATTGGAGGTTCGGCCACGTGTGACGCGCTCCTGTGGACAGCTCCAGGCCCGGAGTTCAGCCTTTTCAGGACAGATATCCCGCATGCATCGCTTGGTTTCTGCTTTTAAAAAGTAGCGCAACACATTGTTGCTTCATTGGTTCATCAGACAGAGAGCTGAAGCCGGAGAGATCAAATGGATGCTCCTCAGCACAGGCAGCAGGGCTGCTTTCCTTTCAAATTAAAAGAAAAAACACATGAAACCTGTTGCTTTTGCAACTTTCCTAATTTAACCCTTTACAGGGCACTCAGAAAATCAATATTCAATAGTTTTATTGGAATCCAGGACAAGACCTTATTAACTATGGAACCTTAAAAAAATATGGATATTTTGATGGCAAAAATGTATGTCAATGTAATAACAAGAAACGCCAACTTGTCTGAATATTTTAAGAAAAATAACAAAAGTGCTTCTATAAGAAATTTATGAATAAGAAACACATTTTGTTTTGGTCCGACATAAACTTAGAGACATTAATGCTGATACTGGCACTAGTTTATAAACCTAAATATATTTTTTGACTATGCTTATTAACTTTTTAACTTTTCAATTTGTTTTTAACCTTTTTTTTCTTGTCTTTTTTTAACTTAATTTCCAGTAGGTAATATATCATTCAAGGGCTCATCTAATTGGACAAACGCCAAAATAAGATGTACAGCCATGTAGCAGTATTTTTGCTGAATAGCTGGATATAGATCTTGCGCTTCTAGACCTATACAAGTGATCAAAAATTATAACTTGCCCTATAAAGGGTTAACTCTACTTTCAGCCACATCTAGTTTTTTCTGGCTACTATTTTATTTATTCTTTTATTTTGTTAAATGGTCAGTTTTGCACATGGTAATCTGAGGATTATATTCCCAAAATCGTAGTTTAAACGGATTGACTCGCACTGAAGTTGCCAATATTGCCTTTTTTTTTTTTAACTTGTCCAGTTTTTGTTGATATGTATCCCGTAACTGCACATGCGTGGACGTCACGATTAGATGGAAACAGCTGGAAACCCACGAAGGAGGAACAGCTGGGAGGCATTTTAATCCAGAAATCAGTCCGCTGAGTGCATGGAAAATATGACTTTAGTTAATAATGCTGTTATTCAGAAGGTTAATTTGATCATTTAATATTTAAATCAAACTCATTGATAGGATGAATATCATTATTCAGTTGTTTTTTTCTGTTCACATCACACAAGGCGACCCTGAATACTGAAGCATTCATACCATTTGAAGATGTTACGCCTCCTTTTATAGAACCAGCTTTTACTGCAATTATTGCAGTTTTTAAGGTACATCTATAGGCTTTAAGTATTTAGAATGGAAATGTTAACCTGTTTCAGGGTTTGGGTTCTCTTATGTTACTCGGCAAAGAGTGCTCACAGCAATTCTCCATTTTTACCACAATAGAGTTTAGATCTGGAGTCTAACTGAGCCTTTCTATCGCGTGCGTATGCTTTGATCTTCATCAGAAAAAGCAAATCTGCCAAAATCCTAAAAAGTTTAAGCAGTCTGAATATTTTCTCAAGACCTTTTCTAAACATCTATTTCTGCTGTGATCTTTGATGTCATTTTATGTTGCATCTTCAAATCAAAATGAATTCCACTTCTTTTGTAAATCCAGTTTGGATGTTTTTTTTTCTCCTCTGTTGGACTCTTACAACGCTGTTATTTAACAAATTGGACTAAATAATTTGTGTTTGATATTCATTGGAAGTCCTTACCATGAGGCGCTATCTATTTTGTTGGTGTTAATTAACTTCTATGGGGTTACAGTCAAAAGGGCACACATACTGGATCTCTATTGATTGTTGTTTCTGAACAAACCCAGAAGTGTCATCACCAACGATCGGGGCACATGAATCCATTTCTATCACTATTCAAGTAAAACAGCCAAAGAGATGATTCCCTAAGCTACATACAGATGGTGAAATGCTAAGGGGCAAATCACACCGCTTGTGTCTTACTCCATAAGCTCCCATCAGATTTCTTTATTAAAACAAAGGCTCTTATCTGACCAGGGGCTTCTTAGGTTAAATATTCTAAAAAAAGTAAAAAAAAACAATCCACTGGACTTTGTTTCCAAGTTTGAAGACGTTTGCTTCCCATCCAGGAAGCTTTTTCAATCCAAAAAGTCAGAAATGGCATTGAGTTCCAGGCTTTATTAAGTGGACCAAAACCAAAGCCTTGTTTTGGCTTAGAAAACATGCAAATTGAACTGCACAAACGGATCCGCCCCTTAGGAACGGACATTTGGTTGGGTTCTTTGTTAGCCTGCAATATCCAGTGCTGGTCTATGTCTCTGAAAGGGGGGGTTTTTTGGGGGAATTCTTTGCCTGGCTGAACAGGCAAGATATTCTGGTCCCCTGTATGGGGGTGGGGGTTGCGATGATAGGGGGGAACCAACTCAACTGCTGCATCCTTCCCGCTATCATCGCAACCTCCCCCCCCATACAGGGGACCAGAACACCTCGCCTGTTCAGCCAGGCCAACAATTCCGCCTTACTACCCCCGTTGAGACACATAGACAGGTACCGGGTATTGCAGGCTAACAACGAAGCCAAACGAGTCCCATTTCAAAGGGGCGGACCTGTTCTTCTGGTCAATTTGCATGTTTTCTAAGCCAAAACAAGGCTTTGGTTTTTGGTCCGCTCTATAAAGACTTCAAGTCAACGCTATTTCTGACATTTTGAATTGAAAAAAGCTTCCTAGAGGGGAACCTTAACATCTTCAAACTTGGAAACAAAGTCCAGTGGATTGTTTTATAACTTTTTTGGAATGACTATGACCTGGATGACTGAGAATCTTCACCAGCATCTGATTAACATGATTGAGTTGTCACATGAGGGCCAGTGTGTGAATCCCAAAACTGCATTTGCTATTTGGACGTATTATTATTTTTTTGTATATGACTTAATTCTTTAAATTTTTTCCTGCAAAAAAGTGTCTTTCCCGCTTCGGCACAATCATTGAGCGATATAATACCAGAATAAGAAGAAAATTTAAATGAACCAGCGTAGAGACCAAGCCTTAAAGATATTTGTTTTTAAGGCCAATATTGATTATTTTGACATGAATAATGATTCCCGATATGTGCTGTTACGTTTGTGCCAATTCTTAGATTCAACATTGCTTTTCCTTCCCCCATTTACCTGATCAAAATTTTACACAAGCCTCAGTTTAAACAAAGAAGAAAAAATTAACAAATCAAACAAAAAATTAACGAAGAATAACAAATTGGGGAATGGCAATACATGAGCTTGACTCTCAGGGCATGGCTATTAGATGCACTAATGAATTGACCAACACATTCTGATTCAAGAAAAGAAAGGCAATATATTGGTCTATCTTGAACCATGCATTTAAACCTGGGGTGGGCAATTCCAGTTCCTGGGGGCTGGACTCCTGCAGCTTTTAGATCCATCCTTTGTCCAACACCCCTGAATCAAATGGCTGAGTTATCTCCTCAGTAGGGCTGGGTAAAAAAATGTATTTAATCGATTTTTTTAATCGATTCCTTTACATTTTTGCAAAATCGATGTCTAGGGAATAAGATCGATTAGTTTTATAGTGACGTGCGTGACATTCACATTCAAATGAGCAGGAAAGATGCACTCAAAATACTTCAAGCCAGACAGCTGCAAATATAGCTACCGTAATAGGTTGATTGAAGGCTGACCAGCAAACACTCTGTAGTTGTTACAGACAACGCTGCAAATATGGTTTGTGCAGTGGAGATAATGCAGCTCATTGCATGTCCGCTGTGTCACGTCTGCTTGCTCGAGTGAGGCTTTTTCACTTTTCACAAAAAGTTTGCACTTTTGTTCATATCTCAAGTTTAAACTTTCCGATTTACAAGTTTTCACTTTGTGTTTAATATTACAGGAAAAAATTGTGTTTTGAAACACAGTTGAACCACTTTCATTATTGTGAAAACAGATCAAATCGAAATTAATCGATTTAGAACTGTATGAATCAAAATCGAATCGATTCAGGACTTTGACGAAAATACCCAGCCCTACTCCTCAGTATGCAGTCTGTTTCTCTAGAGTCCTCTCAATCATTGAATTACTTGATCCAAGTGTGTTGAACCAAAGGTACTTCTAAAAGTTGCGGCCCTCAGGAACTGGAATTGCCCAGCCCTTATTTAAACTATGTTTGCACAAATCTGTAAGGCTGTGAATTTTAGTGTTTGTGTGACTTGTTTTTTGTGTTTAAAATGATTTTGTATTCATAATTTTTATATGTGTGCATGCCAATATGCATTTATGAAACGTTTGGTCCAAAATGTTTATTATATAAAAAATCATGTAGTAGAAGTACCCAGAGCAAGAACAGACAAGGATTCACCAGGATTTGTGTGATATAGAAACACTCTGACATACGCAGAGTTGTCAAATTTTCCAAA